GTTGTTGAAGTAATTATGGGCAGGTTACAATATAAAACATGTTTGTCCTAATCATGTCTTGTGATTATTTGACAGGAGTTTTCTTTTAAACTTTGAGTGTATTTAATTTAGTTATAATGTAAGTACAATATAAATTAAACCAAGATTTATAATAATTAATCATTTTGATCCGTATGATAATGTCTGACTGGGCCTCGTCCACGTTATGTTCAACAAATTGAGCCCCGAGGTCAAGAAGGTTCAGAAGCGCTGCTCTAAAATGTTCCTGACTCAGTGAACCTGAGACCTGCTGGAGTTCTTTCAGATCATGAAGAAAGTGACGTTCAGACAGTTTGAAGGGCAGTTCTGTTCTGAACAGAGGGAGGGACTCGGTTTAGTTTTGATCTGCTTCAGTGAATCCAGAGGATCCTGAGGATTTGAATCATTAAAGGAGTTTTTTCTGTCTTCTTTTTGTTTTTAGTTGGTATACGAGTTCTTCATTCGTTTCTTGGAGAGTCAGGAATTCCAGCCCAGCATTGCCAAAAAGTACATAGACCAGAAGTTTGTCCTACAGGTGAGCGACCCAAACAGACACTGGGCATCCTCTGCCTCAGTGTTTGGTTCCTCGTTGATGTTTTTGTGTTTTCTCCAGCTCCTGGAGTTGTTTGACAGCGAGGACCCCAGAGAGAGGGACTATCTGAAGACGGTCCTACATAGAATCTACGGCAAATTCCTGGGGCTGAGGGCTTTTATACGAAAACAGATCAATAATATTTTTCTACGGTGAGCTCTTGTTTTTCATTTCAGCTGCAGTAAAAAGTTTGTTCCTCGTTCTGTCTCACGCCTCTCCTCTGTCTTCCTCTCAGTTTTGTTTATGAGACGGAGCACTTCAARGGGGTGGCTGAGTTGCTGGAGATCTTGGGGAGGTATGTTGCACCTGTGATCCTCCGACACACACGGTCCTGGTCCAGCTCAGCTTTACTCTAACATTAAGATCTGCAGAGGAGGACAAGAAAAGAGAGAAACTGTTTTATATGCAGGATTATTTCAGTCCTTTGGGTCCGAACCTCTTGTTTCTGCACTTGTTTGTTTTATGTGTTTTAAAGTAAACACGGTGATTGAAAAAGTCTTCAAAGTTAAAACTAAAAGTTTTATAAAAGCAGGGTTCATACAAGGACACYTCTGCACACTGCTTTGACCTTTGACCTGCAAACTCAGGCCTTTAGAGTCTGAGATAGAGCTCATTTCTCTCAGCATTGCACGGWCTGACCTTTGGGGTYAATAATCTTTGTAGAAAGATGGACTCAGTAGTTTATGACCTTAGACTTTACTAGATAGAGAGGAAGGGTCAAAGAGAGACATCTACTTATTTAGGAGTTTTAACTGATACAGATATAGATGAAAATAACAAATCTTTATCTTTGTCTCCCCCCTCCCCCCACCTCCCAGTATAATCAATGGTTTCGCTCTGCCACTGAAGGCAGAACATAAACAGTTTCTGGTCAAAGTGTTGATTCCGCTGCATACTGTCAGGAGTCTGTCCCTCTTCCATGCACAGGTAAGACCCCCCACCTGCCTCTGTACTCACCTGAGTCTCTGTGGGGGGGCAGATGTCTCTTAGCCACAGAGARGAWATGAAACAGAACTGCAATAATTTGTTTGTTTGTTTTTCAGTTGGCTTATTGCATTGTACAGTTCTTAGAGAAAGACCCAACATTAACAGAACCAGTAAGTATCAGAACATGARTTACTTCAGAACACTGGAAAATATGTTTTACTTAATGTTTGGTTTTAGTCAGCAGGGATTCTGATTAAACTGTGTTTCATTCTGTCACAACTTTCACTCTTTCATCTTTCAACCWGAGAGTTTCTCCAGATCAGATTTATGTCAGTTCTGTACGTGATTCTGGTTCTGATGCACATCTGATGTTTTTTAAAATGACCTCGTCTGACGCTGGTMTTACATCATGTGTGTTTGCTGCCTGAGATTAGAGCTGCCCCAAATTATTATTTTTATAATCAAWTAATCACAGATTATTTTTTTCCATTAGTCGACTAATCAGATCAAACGTTACTTGAATATAAAACATGCAGCTTATCACACCAGAATGCAGCTGCTATTATATAACCATGGTTAGATTTTAGCTATATGCTAACTAAAAATAATAGCTGTGGAAGGTAAGTTCTGCTCTGCAGATATTACACAGGTTTCTCTTTCATTTTCTTAAAATTAGGGGTGTCCCGATACCAGTTTTTTCAAGACTGAGCACAAGTACGAGTACTTCAGTTT